CGTTTCTTTCGCATCAACCCAAAGAATGTAGGCGTTTTTTAACAGAATAAAGACTTTCGTTCTTGTTATTCTTCAGCTGAGCCATTAACTTACATACTATGATTTCCTAGAATTTTTTTGGCTATACGTATATTTCTCTTGTTAAAATAAACATCTACAAATACATCACGTAATAAATATGAATGAACAAGACTAGCTGGGAATAATTTAAAAGTAAATTTTAGATCCAAAGGAATTATCTTTCCATCTTGCTCGGGATTTTTTCCATACTCTCACTTGTCATCAATGTTTTTTTTTATTTTTTATCTCCTTAATGTTTTTTCTCTCAGACAGCCCAAAAAATTCTTCACACATCGCAATCTTGAATTGTGACGCAATCTTTATAGTCACCTTACGTAAAGACGTGTTTATAAGTATAGTTTAGCGGCTGCTGCGCAATAGGTTTTGGTTCTCATGATCACTAATAACCAATAGGATGAGTTTCATCAAGTAGCTGTTAGTGATGCTGCTTCTACTTCTGTTGTAGCTGTCTATCGAATGTTAATATACCACACTACACTAGATGATTTGAATTACTCATCATCTTGACCTTGCGCCGACCTAAAAGCCATTTGCACTGTGCTGTGCTAATGACAATTAGAATATTTAAATAAATATGATGGTTGCTATTCTGTTGCACTTGGAAAATATGTATTGAAATTTAAAAGATAACAGGAGAGAAAGCATTGGATCTTTTATTCAACCAAAAGGTTAAGACCTGCTTCAACAAGTCCCTTTACTGTAGGAGTTTCGAGGCCGGTTTTTTTTTTTTGTTAGATCCACCAATAGCTTCCAACATCGTCCGCAATAAAGGTGTGGAGTAATTTACATACTTACTAAAAGTGCTAAATTGTATTTTATATTGATTGCTTGATATATTTACTGCATATTATATAACTTTTGGAGCAATCAAAAAATAATTTGCATACAATTAATTTTATAATAATAATAATAATCATCATCATCATTATTATCATTAATTTATCATCAATAAGAGCGATGATACATTACCAATGGAATAATGAGTATTCAACAAGTATTAGATGTAAAATATCGTATAATAACGATATGCAGTATATCAGCATGTAGGTTATTATAAAAAAATTAAAGTTAAATCATGCTACCGCGAAAGCCGCGGATAAATGTTTCATAAAAAAAAAAATAGGGGGAGAATGAAAGGTATTATTTAAAGTAGTAACACCGTGTTGTCACGAGAGTAGTGAAGATAAAATTTAATGAACATTGGATAGAATAGATCCTCTTCAACATGACAGAGTCTTTTGTGTACGTTCTCCAACGGGGAACCAACGCGTTTGAACCTAACCTCCAAATAGTGTAGCACTTGCGCATACGATCGGTGTGTGATATGAGGATGGTGCATCCACCTGTTCTATATAGAACGTCTACATATACGCAACATCGAGTATGATGATAGATGACAGGAGCAGGAGAGAGAACGAGACGGAGTATCGAACAGTAGCATGGAGGATAGGAATAGAAGCATAGCATATTCGCTAAACAGAGACACAATTTCATCAAACAGAGGACAACATTTCTAACCCCCGAATGTGCATGCTGAGCTTCGTTACTGACGTTACTAGTCCCCTATTCACCCTGTTTAACGATATTCTCTGGTTAGCAATATGAATCAGGGAATATGGAAGCGAGTGAGGACGAAAGGAGAATGTACGAAGCAGTTTGAAGCTAAACCAAGATCCTTTCGAATGTCCCTGGCAGCGCGACAGTATTGGATATCTCGCTCTTTAGATCGTTTTATCTCTCTTGGATGAATCTTTCTTTTTTCCTCGCATTGAAAGAGAAGAAACGAGAAAAGAGGAAGATCGCTCGAGATGGTAAAAAGAGAGTGGGAGAGAGAGCGTCGTCATAATTCCTTGAATTGAACGGCGGGTTATTCTCCACCAAGGTTATCATGAGGGGACGAGGCGCGGTCGGGACATCAAGAGAGAAGAGACAGACTGAGTAAGAGAGAGAGATATTAGGAGCGAGCTAGATATATATAACGAGAAAGAGAGAGAATGAGCAAGTGAGTAAGAGAGTAGCAAGTACGAAGTACGAAGTACGGTGATCGTTGCGGCAGGGTGGGATAGGGGGAACATGGTGGGGCACGGGGAATCAATAGGACAACAAGGACGGCACCAACGACTCTCTATGCTGCAAGCTATGTCGCATGTACTGGTGGGAGAAATAACGATAGTACCTAAGCGTCTCTGTAGGTGGCGTTGCTGTTGCGAGACAAAGATAAACCTATAGGTTACGACAGCAGTTTGAGCAGTGGGGACTGTTGCTTGCCAGGTAACGACGACTAATGGATGGGTGCTCCAGAGGACTGCGGGGCAAAGACCGGGTAAATGGATAAGGGGACTGCGGGACAGCAAGGGGAATACCGAGAAAACGCGCGCGAGGGTCGAAGTGGGGTACGTACACATATATGTAGTAGTTGGTAGTGCCGGGACGAGGGGCCGGGCGGTAGACGAGCGGGACAAGGGGATCGAAGGGGGAGACAGGGAGAACCGACTTTATGCAGCTGCGGGACGATAACAACGATGGGCTACAGGACCGCCGCTATAGCTGGGGAAATGCCAAATGGGCTACAGGACCGTGCCGGCCTAGCTGTACGTTCGCTTGCCTCGTAGTGGCATGGCGGACGGGCGGCAAGCAGGCAGGAAAGGCGGGAAGAAGAGGGATTTCAAGCGGTCGTCTCTTCTTGTCTGCCTCTGCGTCTCTATAGCCGCTCCACCGGTCTCACCGTTCTCTCTTACCGGCGGCCCTCCACTATTGCTGTTAGTACCTAACCTCCTATCCACTCTCTGTACTACTCTGTTCTCTCGGTGCTGATGCTTCCATTGGACTTGCCTCCATATCACTATTGCCTTGGACGCAGGTACTCGTTCAACCGGGTACCGACCCTCACCGTCCTCGACGATGCCCTTCGTCATCGTGATGTCTTGTCCTCATCGAACCTCATGTAGCCGGTCAGCAGAGGCTCTAACTAGTAAGAGACAACTCCAAGTACTTCTATCTCTCGTCTCTCCTATCTCATGTAGTTTAACTTCAATAATCGTCAATGTACATACTTGATTCACTTACTTTTATTTATTTTTTTATTTTTTATCTTTACGTTCATACTACAATATTGGACATATATATTTTTTAATATTTACTCATCCGTGTAGATTATAATTAATCATTTTTCATTGAATCTGCGGGTTATTGTTCTTCTACATAATAATATGTATATAAATGCATGTATTAATAGCATAATGATGTTAAAGCTTTGTTTGAATTATTAAGTAGTGCAAAGAATGAAAAGATATTATCTATCATGGATCGTTTTTATTTTCCTTCTTCTCCCTTTTTTATTATTTCTGTTGTTGTTAAACTTTATCGATCGAGAAAAAGCAAATCTCGTTGGAATATTTTGTTATAACCATGCCTATTAGGTTTTTTTTTCTTGAGAGTAGTGATATTGCTGGTTTATTTAAATTTACCGCCGATTGTCGTAGGTGGAATGTGACTGACTTTCAACATTCAAGCAATATCTTCAGTTACAGTGACGTTAGGTTGTCTCTCGATCCTGTTCTGTTTACTTCAGCGTAATAATGAGCAAATGAGATCACTATGCGACAAATACAGAGATGGAAAAGACAAGACAGAGAATTCTCTGTCAACAATATATTTGACTTGTTGACAATCAAAATAGTAAATATAACTGAACAACAACAGCAACAACAACATCAACGACGAAGATGACGAAGAGAATGACAACAATCATACATAGCCTACAGGTTTAGTCACATAAATGAGATCTCACATGATATAAAGGCATAAATGCGTCATACAGGCCCGCCTTCATCTTCGATTCAATGTAGATTATGGTTAAGAGGAATTATAATCATCATCCACTAGCCGAAAATTAGAACGCAACCTTGCCTATATTAATATAATCTACTGTTCTGATTTAGTGTTCTATATTTGTTAGCATGAATATTTACTATTATCCTATATACTTCTGGTCAGAAGATATTTCTATTGATTTTGTGATCAATATTTTTGCAGTTATAACTCGTACGCTGTGTTTACTTCAATGCTCCGCACTACAATCAGCAAGATAAAAATATCTCAAGACATAACAAGCACCAAGATTAAAAAGTATCTAATATATTTCTTTTTAAACCATCCAATTAAATAAATACTATATGTGAAAAAAAAATTAAGCCACAGCAAATTGAATACTTTAGCAAAAAAAAATATTCACTATGAATTAAATACTTTACAACAATATGAAATTAATTTTATACGCAATGTCTAGTATAGTATCTGCACAGTTTTTATCGTTGTTTCGTTACGACGTAACTTCAATGGAAATGTTCATGTTTTTTTAAAAACATTCTATCGCTAATTTAATTAATTTTTATTTTAAATAATAAACTTTTATTTTAACTTTTTAAAAAAATTTGCTGTAACTGCGCGTGAACATAGTTTATTATCTCTACATTTTTGTTTTTAATTTATATATAATGTATATGAACATACGTTTGCTCATCAGACAGTTAAAAAAAGTTAAAGCTAAAAAGTTGATAACTACAAGTTTTTTTTTTTTAAATTATAAAAAATTCTATGTGTAAGCATGGAACGTTTAAATTTTACAAAAAATTTCTCGGCAAATGTTGAAACTTTTGAATAATTTCACAAACATTTAATATGGATTTTTATTATTTAGGGTATAGATATTTATTATATTTTGAAATAGCACACATAGTCGGACTACTCGCGACATCTACTTACTTAGCTTTGAACAATTTTAAAACCTTCCTAAGCAAATGGTAAAAAAATTTTTAAACAGAAAAAAATCAATAAATAATTCATGAAATTAATAAATAAAAATGTTATTTTTTATTCACAACAATAATCTGTTAAAGTACAAAAATAAATAACTAAAACTATCCTAGTTCTGTTAAAAAATTATGGAGACTACTTCTTTTAGAGGGTGTAGTTGATGTATTGATTATTCCCTTCAATTTTGAAATATTTATTTTCTTTGGCTTACTCCCGGATACGTTAATATTATTGCTCTTTCTTTGTTTTCCTTTAGGGTTCAACAACCTAGGTGTATCAACGTTAATTTTTGTAATCTCAGCTCCTTGGCAATCTTTGACATTTGGGGTGTTTATCAATAATCCAGCAGTTTTATCTTTAATCCGTTTCTTTTTTTTCTTCGGCGTTATGTCAGTGACAACTTCTGTTTTAGCTATTTTCAATCGCTCTGGTTTATTCAACGTAACAAAATTTTTCTTTTTACAAACAGAGCAGATAATTATCAATTTATTCAACCGATTCTTAAGACTCTTACGTACTAACTTTTTTTGACACACTGACAACTGAATATCATTACCCGAATTTTTAATCAACTTTTTAACTGAATTTGGTATCGGCTTTCCTCGAATCAATCTGACTTTATAATCTACTGTGTTCCATAACGAACCGCAATGAGAGCACATAGTATTAATCCCAAAAATTTGTTTAGGTAACTCTCCATCGTTTGTCAATTCTTTACAGCATTTTCTTTAAATTAAATAATTAAATCAATTAAACATGAAGTCTCACTAAAAAATTATAATAAAAACAATTCATTTAAATTACAAATAAATAATTTAAAATAAACATACTTATACTTACACATAATAATTACGAAGTTCATTAGCCTCCGGATTTTTGTGTTTACTCAAAAATTTTGTGATATTCAACAAATGCGTAACGTTTTCCATTGACAATTTTTTTTGTCAATAACAACACATTTAAATAATAATTAATAAATACACTAATTACAACCTGTCTTTTACAAATAAATTTGTAAATAAAAAATTCACTCGATCACATAGCACGTGTATTTTATTACCAACCGAAATAACAATAAGCCAAAAAAATAAGTTGTTAATATTTAATTCTTTTCCTCTCAGATGTCACTAATTGTCACTACCTGCGAATGATAATCGTTAATAGCATTACCAACATTACCGACGTGGTGAACGACATAAACTATACCTCTCTTTAAATCTTAACATCAAAATAAATCTAACAATTAACATTTGCAAATATTTATTCATATGTTTCAAATCTGTTTATAAATTATAATTTTTTATTGCAATTAACAATAATCATAACAATAATTTATTTCTAAGTCAAGTTAAACATGGTAACGAATTGTTAATAAAAAAAAACAAACTTAGTATCGATCTCACTGAGTTTGTGACGTCATTTATGGTAGATCACGCCACATCCCCACTTTAGAAATACTCATCAGCGATTGGTGCTGATGTAACATACGAAATACACTGAAGATTTGTAATATTTATTTAAATTTTATCAAATTTTAAATTTTAAATATTGTGAATAAATCAATTATCAATATTATTTATTTTTAATTTTACTTAGTTCAATTATTAATCAAAATAAATACTTTTTCTTTAAAAACTTATTTATTAAAATTATTTAATTTATTAACTGATAAATTCAAAGTACCAATTGTTTCCTATCTTCACATTAATTATAAAGAAGAAATATAAGCTAAATTTACAGAACTTTTATAATTTTTTAATGACATTTTTTTTTTTTTTAATTAATTCAATAAACATGACCCAAATGAAAATTAAAATAAATAACTCTTTTGATTACTCCAATGTACTGTGCTGATAATAATTGAAATAAATGATTTTTTGTTATAAAAAATTAAAGTCAAAAAAAAAAAAATAAGTTAACGCAATGTCTCCCTCTTTTTTCTATTAGCGCGCGCAGTATTCATCTCTCAGTTTATATATCGGTATATATGCGCACATGTTGTACAGTCTGTACATGGTTTTTTTTGTCTCGACGAATCCAGCAGACTCTCGTTAGAGTTACAGCTGCTAAAGCTAATAGTATATATTTATATATATCTATATATATTTTGGTCATAATACTCGTACTGATTCACTATTCACATTAGTGGATAACTTTTATATACGTTGATAAATGTAAAGATACAACTAGTAAGTGTCCCTGGGATGTCTAGTGTATACTTATCGTTATTTTACAACGCAATACACGGCAAGAGTTATCCTAAAATTTTTTCAATTAAAAAATAATGTAAACGTCAGTTTATCCAATGTCTGGTGAATAAATAAAATATTTTAACTCAGTCATAGGCACATCAAGTTAAATGAACTATCACGTAAGGACGGTCATTGATAAAAAAAATCCACAATATTTCGTATTTTATTTATTATGTCAGTAAATAATCGCTATGAATTAATTAATTATCAGAGTTAGTTTAATTAAATTGACATAATTTATCAAAAATATTAAGCTATTTGTATTTATCCAAACTACGAAACAGAGTAGTAAATAAAGTGACACGGTTTCACATCAATGAATTACTGAAGGTATGTATCCTAAAAAATAATTTATATATTATTTTATATTATGATAATGATAATGACCATGATGACTAATAGTGATATTCCTAAATTAATTAATTGAGTCAATTAATTAATTTATCTTTTTAGTGTTGATGTCAATGAACTGACACTAGAAAGCTATATAATTAAATAATATATTTAATAGAACATTTATATTTATTTTTTTGGTAATAAAAGATCTACTTCGATGAGCTTGTCACGTGGTCAAAGTTGGCAGACTCCACGATCTGGTGAACTCGAAAAATTACACGTACGATCTCACCTAACCTGATTATACCGTTGAGTAAATGAGACGGTAAATGTTGATAAAAGTATTGGAGAGAGTTGTCTTCTAGAGAAATTTATTTGTAATAATAAATTTATTACCGATAAAAAAATCTAAAGGTTTGTAATACTAATTATTATAATAATTTATAAATAAATTTTAATTGATGAAATTATAAGTAAAAGTACTTTGAACTTGAAATTATAGATTATGACCTATTTACTGATCAAGTGATTGGATATTTTTCAGTTTTCATTCCAAGGTTGAGAAATTTGTTGGAAGATCAAGAATACTTGTGAGTGGTAAATAAAAAAAAAATCCAGCTTTTCTTATTTGGAAAGACCTACTTACGCTAAAAAGGGTAAGCTCCATATTGCTTATCTGTTTTATGTTATTTTTTTTTTTTTTTTTTAATTATCTTCTACTGGTTATTTATTTTGGTGGAATTAATTGGTAATAGTTGTAATAATGGTGAGGGTTATTTATTAAACAAAATTTAATATCACGCTTCTAAAAATATCCAAGAATATTGAATGATTTAAATGGGAATTATGCAAAGTTAATGTCCTCAGAATGCCCACGTGTATTTTATAGATTATTATTACATAACTATTCGGTGGTGGTTATCAATCATATCGCTATACATTAATATTAATTATTATCATCCACAAGGCTAAAATTAATTATTAATAATTTTTTCCTCTCTTTAAATGAAATACAAAAAAAATAATAACAATTGTTTTGTTTTTATCAAGTATATTTATAGACTTCATTACTATTATTACCTCAGCTATCGATAAGAATTTCTCACGACATGATTCACAATTCTAATGTTTTTATTATCAAGTAATTTTATTTGAACAACAATACCGATGACTCTGATTTTTTTATTCAACTGTAAGTAATCAATTTAACTCATTTGAATTTGTTAATAATTAATATGTAGACTCCGGAACTTGTTAATTAAGTGACAAACAAATTAATAATTATCCATGGGTCATGACATCACACGTTTGCATATTTATACAATAGTGTATGCCTCAGTCAATGAAATTTTTATCAGCTGTTTTCATCGATACTACGGAATAGTAATAAACCTAACACACGTTATGTATATACACCACTTATGTGAAGTACATATAGTAAACTTATAATAATTTGTAGTATAGGCTCATGTCACTTATGCGATTAGAATTCATTCATAGACTCGTGAACTATATACTACTCCATTATTGGTAGGTCTTCAGGTGATTGTAATCGTCGTTTAGAATCTCTGTACATAATTTATTGCGACATTTACAAACATACCAACAATAACGAGTGTTATCAGTTGTCATTATTCAAACAATCAAAAGTCAATTTAAATAAAAAAAAAAAAATTATGACTTAGAAAAATAATAAAATCAGTTATATTAGGAATGCAACTATTTGTTATTTGAGCGGATTTGACCTTAAGTAGAGGCGCGTCAGTGTGTCTATTGTGCAGTGTGTTGTAGAATATCATGTGGGAGGGTGTAGTAAGTAAGATAATAATGAACGAGTGACCAGGGAAGTGATACGGGTTACATTAGCTGTTTTACACTGGTAGTTCACATATCAAATGCAGGACGTCATTGGGTAATATGTCTTGATGCTGAGTTATTTCTCTTTACTACCCTCATACAAACATTAGCCACTTCCTCTTGTTTCTTTAAATATTTTTATTATATCTCTATTACTTTATTCCTACATTAAAGATAAAAGTAAAAGTTGTTTTTGTTTTTAAACTACGATTAGTTTCAAATTTGATAAAGTTTTAAAGATAAAGAAATTATTTGAAGAAATACCGAGTCTGTGGGTTATTTTCTATTGAGAAATAGCTGTGTTTGAGTAAATAGTGTATCTATTATTAAACTTCAATTCAAAGTTTTTTTTTAGTTTTTTACCTTGAAATGCCCGAAGGTCTTAACATACTGTCTGATGAAATCAAAGTCCAAAGTTTGTTGCCGTAAATTTACTATAAAGAATGAGAAAAATAACACGTTAAATAACTAAATCGTAAGCTGACGTCTATCTTAATCCACGTCATCGTATGATGAACATAATATTTTATGCATATATATGTTTATATGTGTATATGTATATTAAAAAAATAATTTAGCGAATGTTTGGTTAAACATTCAATTAAATTTCTGAGTTGCCATTGGATAATGGTGAATTGCAAACATTTATCACGCGGACAAGATGAAAATTTCAGTGCTAACAAGCCGATTGGACTCTGTACTTTATATTTTGATGAATAAATAGCGTTGTCGTTCAAACATCATTACATTTGCCAATGTATTATTCTTTTTTACGATCATGATAATAATAAAAAATAATAATTTTTTATCAATCAATATCAAGGTTAAATTTTTTTTTATTTACATAAACATTAGATTGTTGAATTAATTAGATTTTGGTGTCAGTTCTTCTTTAAAAACATTTTTAAATACTTATCTAATTATTATGATAACAATATTATTAATCAACTATCAATAAACAGTCATCAGTAAATCATCACTAGAGTTGTAATACCAATTTAAATATTTAATATTTCGTTTGCGTTTATTTGTTTTTTTAATAATGAGTAAAAACAAGTAACTCACAACTCGAGTGTATGATTCGTCTTGGTGATAGAACCATTAAATTGTTAGTGAATATGTATGCGGGTTTCTTCTTCACTGATATAATTGTACCATATATGACATATGTACAATAATAATAACAATAAGACGAATAATAATGATAAAGATGGTCTTTAAAGTCTTATTTGATGCAAAGAGCGAGTAACGCAGAGCCATTTCAATCAATGAAGATCGCTAATAGTTATGTAGATGCAATCTTATTTATACAAAAGTTTATTTTGTGTTGTGACAAGCATGCCAGTTTGATTTATTTAAAATATTTAAATAAAAAGTTTTATTTGCCAATTTAAATATTTTACTGATGTATTATTTTTCTTTAAATTTACTTTGAAATACAAGCATGGTAGTTTAAATTTTTGATAACTGATATAGTTAAAAAATATCAGAACTGGATTTTGGATTAATTTTTTTTTACAGAAAAATTCAGATAGTTCCCTGGTGTGTCAATATTCCAATACTACAATAAATAATAATTACCAGAAGTTCCTCAAGAAATAATAACCAAGGTTCCAATATTTAAAAATAAAAAACAAAATCCGCCATCATGATTATAGACGACAAATTGTGAGTCGATATTAATATTAATTTGTCCTATAAAATGCTACTAAAGTGCATTATATGATAAATTATCGGTTATATTAATCATTAATGATTAATTAAGATAATTTATCAATTGACATGTTTTGTTGCTCACTATCAAATGCATGTATCCATTATTCGCAAATTAACACAAAACTTTAACAAGGCTTTGCTTTCAATCACATTTCTTTTCATTTAATAAACAATTTATTCACTTGCTATTGTCACGATTTATAATATTTATTTGTACTTTTGATTTATTATGTAAGCTTTAATATTTTTTTTTTTTAGTGATAAACTCTAAAAAATAATTATTATTAAGTTTATTATTACGTATTATTTAAAGTGCAATTTGCGTTATGATATATGAAGATAACAGTGTATAAAAATTATCGTTATAAATAATCAATACGTGAGATTAAAAAATGAATCAATTAATTATTATCTCGGATTGATTAAATAAGAAATCAATCTATTGTCGATTAACGTACAAAGTTCAGAGTTTATCAAGATAAGTATTAAACTCCGTAAAAAGTTTGCATACTTAGAAGTTTTGTTCAAAGTTCTTTTAATCAAATAATACATGTATATCAGTGTCATAAATAAGACAATAAATATCATATGGACTATATTATTTATTAACGATAATTCGTATCAGTTTTTTAAAAATTTATCTTAATTTTTATCGAACAATAAATTATTTTTAAGTATAGTGCTCGAATGATCGAACTTTGAGATTCAGTAAAACAATGAATGCTTATAAATAATTATGATTACCAATAACAAAATTAATAGTTTAGATATTGTTAACCTTGTCTAGAAGATTAAACAAATCGCGATAGAAGAGAGAGGCCATTAGTTTCAGTTTAACAAGGTCTTTTTCTATATTTCTGACTTGATATAACATATCTATATGTACGGGTACATACGCATATATCAATAGAAAATATAAGAACCACACGTGCAAAGTCCAAATGCGATAACGACCTATCATTATTGCTCTCAGCTATCTCACCTATGTCTAGTTCAATTTTTGAAATCAGTCACCACAGCGGCTGTGGTATAAGAGGATCCGATTTCTTCGGTATTAATTTTATTTTATTCTTACTACTTTTTTATTCATTTAAATAATAACTTAAATAATTATCAATGTGTTTCAATATTTAATATTGTATATTATATAATTTTGTTCTTCTATAATCGTGTTAATTTTTAATTGTCACTTAATAACTACGCGTTAAGTGAATAATAATAATAGTTAATTATGTTAAATGATATAACTTCGTAGTTTGTTGAAATTACGGATAAAAAGCTCGTGAAATACTGAGGTAATTTAACACGGTAAAAAAATAAAATTTCACTATGCATGTCAAATAATTACTGTTTAATAGAAAAAGTTTATAATAAAAATGACCTATTTTCTGTAATGTGAATAATTTTCTTTAAATTTACTATATTTTTGTATGAACAAAAAAATTCTGAACTAAAAAAAATGTAAATCGATAAATAAATGAACATTGGTCATGCAAAGTAAGATTTTAAAGTATCTCGAATATTTTTAGTACGACTGTCATTAGTAGATTTGAATAATTGATTATAAATTTAAATTTATATATTTCGCCTCTTCTACTCTTAAATACTTAATTTATTCGACTGATAAATCTTTTATCGCTCTTAAAAATTTATCGCCTTTTTTTAAGTATGAATTGATTATTATCATTTTTTAAATTATTCACAGAGAAATGGAGAGTTTCTGGATCAGTGGAGTCATCACTGCGTTGAAAGCGCTTTCATATGTCTACGATTTGTTGACCTTTCCAGTCTATCTCTTCCTTCAACGGCCATGGGAAAAAAGAAAACTATCGCGAAAAGTTCGCGCAAAACCTATTTACAAAGATGAAACATCAATTGTCTACAGAAATGTTGATCAACCAGGGCCTATGCATGCTGCTTTAGAGCGACTTGAAATAAATACTGTCGATAAAATTTTACGCTATGCTACTGAGATTCATGGAGATAAACAATGCTTGGGTACGAGACAGATACTCGGTGAAGAAAATGAACTTCAACCCAATGGCAGGGTTTTCAAAAAGGTAAATCTTACAAATCATCATTACTCACAGTTCTAATAATTAATTTAATCCTAATTGCAGTACAATATGGGCGATTATAAATGGAAGAGTTATAAAGAAGTCGAAAGATTGGTAACGTCATTCGGAAAAGGATTGAAAGAACGTGGACTGACACAACGAAAGAATATCGTTATTTTCGCAGAAACCCGAGCTGAGTGGATGATTGCAGCTCATGGATGTTTTAAGCAAAATTTATCTATAGTCACTATTTATGCGACTTTGGGAGATGAAGCTATTGCACACGGAATAAATGAAACTGAAGTGGATACAGTGATAACCAGTCACGAACTCTTGCCTAAATTCCGCAATTTATTGTCAATGACACCCGAAGTAAAGTGCATTATTTACATGGAAGACCAGTTAGTCCCGACAGACACAACTGGATTCAAAGAAGGAGTAAGTTTATTGCCGTTTTCAGATGTGATTAAAATAGGTAATTCGTCCACTATTGAGTCTATTGGCCCACAACCAGACGACACAGCTATCATAATGTACACATCTGGATCGACTGGTGTGCCCAAAGGTGTAATATTGACGCACAAAAATATCGTTGCTAATATTAAAGCATCTTGCAGCGCTTGTGTGACTAGACCAGATGATGTTTTCCTCGGTTTCTTACCACTGGCTCATGTCTTTGAGCTTTTGGTTGAGTGTGTCGCTTTATTATCCGGAGTACCGATCGGTTACAGTTCCCCTCTGACAATGATCGATTCCAGCAGTAAAATTCAACGAGGATGCAAAGGTGATGCATCTATATTACGTCCTACATGCATAACTGCCGTGCCAGTAAGTAAATAAATTCTAGTTTTTTAAAATTGAAATCTAATATTTTATTTATTTTTGTTTTATGTTACTTGCAGCTTATACTTGACCGTATATCGAAGGGAATAAATGAAAAAGTAAAGAAGAAGGGGCCATTTAGTCAGGCGATATTTAAATTTGCTTATGAATACAAACTTAAGTGGACAAAACGAGGCTTTGAGACACCTTTCTTCGATCGATTAATATTTAGCTCAGCTAAGCAAGTTCTTGGCGGGCGAATGAGATTCATACTGTCAGGTGGTGCTCCACTCACTCCAGAAACGCATACTCAAGTTAAAATTTGCCTCTGCACCGCTGTACTTCAAGGATACGGTCTAACAGAAACTTGCTCATCAGTCAGTGTTATGGACTGTAAGTATTTTTATATTGAAAAATTAGTAAATTTGTTTACTGAAAATTTTTTTTGACTTTTATTAATTTTTTTTTTTTTAAGATTACGATCGTACCACTGGAAGAGTTGGTGCACCAGAAATTGGTTGTGATGTGAGGCTAGAAAATTGGGAAGAAGGTTCATACAGAGTTACTGACACTCCTAATCCACGTGGAGAAATAATTATCGGAGGAGATAACGTTTCTCAGGGATATTACAAAATACCAGAAAAAACTAAGGAAGACTTTTTTGAAAAAGATGGTAAACGGTGGTTCAGAACTGGCGATATTGGTGAAATTTATCCCGATGGTTGTCTTAAAATTATTGGTAAGCTATTAATATTTAATTTTTGTTCTTAAAGTTATTGTTATTTAATAATTATTGATTTCTTTTAATTTCAGACCGTAAGAAAGATTTGGTTAAATTACAACATGGTGAATATGTATCACTTGGAAGAGTCGAGTCGGAATTAAAAACTTGCCGGCTAATTGAAAATATTTGTGTTTATGGTGATAGTCATAAGTCTTACACAGTAGCGTTGGTTGTACCTCATACGCTATATTTACAAGAAATAGCTGATCGTCTTGGTATACAGGGTAGTTTTGAACAGCTTTGTGAGAATCCACAAATAGAAAAAGCTGTTTTACAAGAACTGATTGAGCATGCCAAGAAATGTAAGTTTTTTTAATAAATTTTTTCTTTGAACTTTTTGTGATTAGCAAATTTGAATGATTATTGAAAACTGACGATTTAAATTACCTACCATCTAATTGTACAAATTTTATACGGTTAAAATTATTTTTGCGTTCTTGTTTAAAAATTTATCTAAGAATCAATTCAAAAAATTTTCAACTTTAAATATTCGTGAAAAATTACTGAACTGAATTTTATGCTTTAAGATAAATAATTATTCAGAAATAGAGAATTTTTAAATCGGTACTTTTTTTATGATAATAGAAGTTAATTGATTTTAAAAGTATTATTTAATTCATTATTGACAATAACTTCAGAAAAAAACATTCAATCTGAGCACTGAACGTTATTTTTCTCAGACTATTAAAAGTTATTTATCGAAAAATAAATAAACTGAATTTTTTAATGTATTTTACGCGCTGTCGTTGATATTAAATGATCAATTAATTAAATCTTAAAAATAAAATTCGTTATGTATAAAGTACTCACTACTTTTCCCGCTAACCGCATCCGCGAGGATTTCTATTTTATTCATGTTGATTAAAAAAACACTAATCACTCAACTATTACTACTTATTTAATTACACTACTCACTAATAACACTATTAAACATGACATTTTATATATTCACGTTTTAAGAACGTTTAAAATTCACACGTTACATTGTTTTTGCCTGCCGAATCATCGCAATTGACCGTTGGAAAATAGACTAAAAATCCTCATAAAGTTGCGCGCGCATCCAATCATCTATCGACTAATTTTAAATAATCGATCTATCGCGAATAATTACGCGGCAAATTTAAAAATATAATCAATTAGTGGTCGTGATGATTTTTTTTTTCACTTTGATTTAAACGTCAAATAATTAATTAATTAATTTCATAAATCGATTAATATTTATTGATGATATTAGATGATATAAAAAAATTATTTATACTTATTTCCTGATTTTTAAAACTGAAGAAGAATTAATTAACATTTATAAGTAAGATTACAGCAGACATTTTACAATTTTTTTAATAAAAACTTATGAATAATTCATTTATTATAAAAATAACAATACAAAAAATAGGTTAAAGAATTTTAAAAAGGTCTTCCTAGGCAATAATTTAGTTTTTTATAATGATTAAATTTAAATTTATTGAATAAAATAAAATAAAATTAATTGTCTGTTAATTTTAAACTCATGAATAACCATCAGTAAAATATTTGTCGCTTCAACTTTATTATCTGGTTTATTACTTAACACAGTAAATTCTCTATAAATTATACAATTACCCATATTCAAAGTAATTAATTTTTTATTTTTTTTTTTTTATTTTAACAGCAAATCTTCAAAGATTCGAAATACCCGGAGCTGTCAAATTATGTGCTGAACAATGGTCACCAGACATGGGTCTCGTTACAGCAGCATTTAAAGTTAAGAGGAAAGCTGTACAAGAACGCTATCAACATGAAATAAATCGAATGTATGCATCGTGATGTTCTGAGCTTTTTATCTTTATTAAGGATTAAATTCTAAGAACAAAGAAAATCTTCGTACGAAGAGGAAATAGATAAAGAAGAGAAAGTGAACAAATAAAACTAAATTGTAATTTTATCAAATGAAAATAATTATTGAGAATTTTGTCTTTCGAAAATGCAAACAGAATATTTATATTAAGGTGCTATGATAATATATGAAGTGGATGACATATTGCAAACCAAAATACTATGAGGTTTATGTGTATTTATTAACAAAACCTCATGTTATTTATGTACAATCATCGAAAGTAATTATTACTTTTTTAATTGAAACCCAGTTTTTTTTTTTTTCATAACGCACAGTTTTTAATGCTAAATACCTCGTTAAATGAGCAGAACATTGTTTTTTTTTAAAAACAAATTATTTAAGTCTTCCGCGTTATTGATCGTACGAATCAATAATAGAGTATTGGTTTTTTTTTCGTACATTTTTGTTTGAGATTTTTAAAGCTTCTTATACAATTACATTATTTTGATTTGCTTCATGAGAGTAATAATAACTAAAAAAAAAAAAAAAAAAATTATGATTAGTATTTTATTTAAGAATGGATTGAAAAAAAAAGTAATAACAACAAAAGCAGTAATTGTACTATATAAATAAATATAGTTGAAATTAAATATAGAAAAAAAAAATTTTGTGATAATTTTAAGGATAATTATCAAGGTTACATAGTCAAAAAGAGATTAAACAGAAAAACTTAAACAAGTATCATGTGAAAAATAATAAATTAATGTTATTTAAAAAAGAAAAAATAAAGGTCGATCTAAGGAAATTCTTTTTCTAAGTTTTATAATGAGATTTACATGATAGTTTATTTTGTCGTTCTTGTTGATTCCTAAAAATTTCTTTCGTTTCATATGCAAATTAATGTAGGCAATATAGACTGGGGTTTTTTTATTTCAACAAAAAAAACCCAAGATGATGTTTAAAGTGAATTAAATTATTCAAATTTATTTTATAGTAAAATAATTGTTAATATTTATTAGCCTTGAAGTAATTAAAATAAAAAAAATGTAATTCGTTAGTATTTTTTAGACGTTAATAATTTATAAAAAAAAAAATATCAAGAGCGTTTGTAATGTGAACTGTAATTTAAAATAATAATACTAACATACAAGGAAAAAATGTAATTACAAAAGTACAAATTGATTTCTGACGCAGAAGAAATCAAGAAATTATTTTTTTCAGTTCTTAATTATACGATACGGCGATACGTAATATGAAAATTACATGGTAATCTTTATAAGTGTCTATATATTGATATATAAAAAGTTGTTACGAAACTGTGTCATCCATTGAATATAAAAATTATTATAAATATTAGGGTGGCGCAAAAAAACCGACTATTTTTTTTTTTTAAGTCTCGAGTGAAAAAATGTTAGTTTTTGATGTTTTAAGAGCTCTCACCAAAAGACAGTTCAAAAAAAAATTTTTAAGAGGTCACTCCAAATTTTTCAAAATTTCAAAAATCGTCAAAAATCAAAAATTTTTTTTTTTTAATTTCTTTTCTCGTTACGGTATAATCTAATAGACTAAAAAAAATAAGTTTCTGAAAATTTCAGTTCAAAATTCGAATTTTGAAAGGTCGCTCAT